GACAAAGTGAGCGTCTGCTCACTCCTCGACCACGGGCCCACTAGCGCATCTAGCTGCTGTGGATGCATGCACATGCCTAACATCTAGGCAACATAGAAATCTGATTATTAGAAACAGCTGTCATTTTAACATTTTGCTAATGGGAATAACAAGAAAAATAACTTTGGATGAATGCTATCAATAGACAGGCCACATGATTTCAGGTGCAGGAAGAAACAAGAAAAGTTCATGAGAAGATCTAAAGTACTGATCTGTCTCATGGAAACATTTGAATTGTGGTAACATTATTTGCACTGTATTTGGTGTTTTAGCAATGATTTAATTGATGGACCTTAAGCAAGGTCAACGTAGCCTTTCAACCTCCACTTCTATCTTGGCCAAGAAAAGTCTCTTTTGTTGCTTAATTGCTCTTTGGTCTTATTATTGGTTATGCCTTCCTAAGAGGGAAAAATGAACCAGTCTATGGTCAAAATTGGTATCATGACAATCTGAGACACTAGCCTGCCTCAGCCTTAAGAGGTGCAACTACAGATATGTACCACCATACCTGGTCCCATTTGCACAATTTTTTCAAAGATTTTGATCTATTTTTATTTATTTAGATCTCTGCCTTCCACATTAAAGATGGTAAGTGTTTGTGCATACATTCTGCTATAAGAATGCAAATTACAACTCTCAATAATATAAGCAAATAACACAGATTTCTAAGGTAAGAGAATTGATTAAATTATTTTGCTGCAACCATATAATGGTTTTACTATGCAGCTATGTAATAAAGCACTATACAACCACCATAATAACTTTGAAGAATTATATTGTAAAAGAAAATTTTATTTATTATGTATCATTAGCAAGCTACCATGATAAAAAATTCAAGTAAATTACCTAAAACAATAACTCTGGAGTCAGAAATCTTGTAATAAAAGTTTGTACTAAATCTTTATCTCTGGAACTCACATATTTGAAAGATACAAATTGTTCTAATTTTCACTTTATTTTTCTGTATAAAAGAATAATAATTATATTTCATCCTAATCATTGTACTTTTGATAAATTAAAAAGAAAATGCATGCCACATTCTTTGAATTTACTCATTGAATAAGTTCATATAACTGCTATTTTAAGAATAACATAAATATCTCATTTGTAAATATATAGAAGCTTATATTTATTTTGATTTAAATATTGGCACTAACAGTATACACATGTAGTTCTTAACCGGAAGTATTTATACACTTATCTCTTTAAGTACAATTTGTATTGTATTTATTTGCTCACTTGCTTGGATTTAACTATGCTCCCTAAATTTTATGTGTAGAAGAGAGTATTAGTAATGCAATCAGCTGCAATAACAAAAAAACACTCCCTTGAGTCTTTTAACACATGAAACAAGTCTCATTCTCACTCACGTCTGGAGGGGCTGACTGCTGACTTCCTTGTTCCAGACCCAGGATAAATCATACAGGGCTGTCTCCAGCACCATGAATCCTCAGGCCACAGGGACAGAGGCAACAGCAGCCTCTCCCCGCCTCCTGAAGCCCTGCTCGGGAGTCACACACATCACTTCTGCTCACATTTTGATCAACACCAAACTCATGCTTAGAAGAGACTCAGAAATAAGCAAAATGGATTTCTAAGTCAAGAAGTGTGTGAAACTAATGCATAGATTCCTGAACCATTATGAGTTTCTTCACAGAATGTTAATATGAGCGAAAAGGAGCCCCAATCCTACTCACAGGAGCAAAAATAAGGATGAATAACTTTACATTGACATTCAGTCTTAAAGGTAAAACAATAACATGAAGTAATATCTATAGGCAATAAGGAATAGAAACCAAGAAATTACATGATTAATACAGAATTCTGTATTACATAATTAATAGAGAATTAATACAATTTAAGTGGTCATGTAAATGCTTTTCTACCGGCAAGACATAACAATGCTACCTGTTAGCACCAGAAAAAGCAAATCTAATTAAATAAAAAAATACCTTCACCTGGTCCTCCTAAGGGGCATTAGAACATTCTCCTAGGAGATTTTTTTTTTTTTCCTTTGCCCCAGCTGGTAATCTGATGAGGCTGTTAGCCTTGAGAACGGATGGGCCTTGTAATTGCTTTCTGCACTCATGTAACCACAGCTGCAGTGCTCAAACACTGAGAAAATAATCTCTGAAAGTTTTCATATTAGATATTTGCTTTAGCACATCCAAAGTCAGTGAGTCAGAAGATGTAGCTCTACAAGAAAGCCCACGTCTCTGACCACTGGGCCAAGCCCTGGAACTCTTGGTTCTCTTTCTAAAAGAATCCTTTGTAAATGCTGGAGACCACTTCACGCATTAATCCCTACTTTTCTCTCTGTGGGAACTAGAGGGGCTTAGCAGTTATTTATAAAGTACTTCTAGGGGCTTCAGTAAACATAAGACTTTTCAAAATCATAGATCTATAAAGTACTCAATTTCCTTTTAGTAAAAAGTATTTTAAACCAGCTCCAGCATTTCCAAATGATAGCTAAATAGTGACCTTTGAGAAAGATAGGAAACCAGTGTTTGAAGAATTAATCGTCTTGTGTAAGAGTGATATATGTAAGTCCAAAATAAACTTTTTTTTTTTGCTTTTTCTACCTAGTAATTATTTAGAGAAGAATGAGAAAGCACTGGTACCTGTATAGATAGTAATTTTCTATGTTTAAGAGAGATTTCATATACTCTCATTTTCCCTTTCCATAATTTGTCATTTTGAACATCAAAACATACAAACATTTGTAAATTTTGTTTGATGTTGTTTTGCTTTGAAATAATAAACACATATTCTTATTTGCCTTTGTTCTATCACTTCAACTAGTGACATATGTACTGGAGATATTAACAATTTTACAGAACATGGGTCCCTTAAATTAATGTTTTAAGATATCAGACTTCCCTGTGCTTTATCACTTTAAGATAATAGCAACAATCACAGTACTTTAAGTTTTGTAGAGCAAATACATTGGGAAAAGGAGTATTCTAATTTGAGATAAAGTTATAGTCATATTCTTTCTGGCCCAAGGTTTTCAATTTAGAATTGTCCACTAAAGAATAAAGTTCTAACCTATTGATTTTTTTAAACAAAATAAAAATATTTTCACAATTTTATTTCTTTTTCTTTGTATCAGGGACTGAACTCATGACCTCAAGCTTGCCAGGCAGGCGCCTGTGACACTGAGCTATATCTCCAGCCCCAAAAGAAAAATATTGATCAGCTTCTCCATGAGCAGCATTATTTTACACCTGGCTGGGAAGAATAGATAACACTTTTTATAAATCTAAAATAGCAATGTCTTTTTTTAAAAGTATAGATTAAAGGACAGGTAATTAACCGGAGTAGGAGGCATCCTAATTGTTGGTATTTTAATATTCAAAACTCTGACAGCTTACTCAGACCATATTATTAATGGAGGTGAAACAAAGGTTCTTATCTGGATTATTGGTGAAAGATGTGGCTAAACAAGTACTTTTGAAAATAAAAAAATAAATAATCCTACCCATATCCTCCAGTCCTCTAAACCGTCTCTATGGAAAATACCTGTGGTACAACAAATCCTAGAGATTTGGGGAGTTTTCTATGTAAATAAAACTACAAATATTAAAAAGGAAGACAATGACAGGTAATGACAAAACATACTGAAATTGGAACAGTTACACATTTTCTTAGGGAATATAAATGTTTTAACCACTCCCAAAACAAACTTGCAATAGTCAAAAATTTAAACATGGAATTATCACATGACTCTGAAATTCCACTCATAGAAAATTGACAAAACATGCCCACTTTCATGTGAATGTCCACACCAGTGTTATTTACAATGACCCAAAAATAGAAACCAATCACATGTCTCTCAACTGATGAATGGGTGAACAATCATGGTATATCCATACTGTGGAATATTACTTAGACATAAACAGGAAGCTGGCTATGTGCCACAACATTGATAAGCCTTAAAAATGTTATACTCACTGAAAATTCCTAGACACAAAAAGACTACACATTTTATGATCCCATTTATAAGAAATATACAGAATGGTTAAGTATATAGACAGAATATTTATTAATTAATGCTTTCTAGACATTGTGGAAAAAAGAAAAGGGTGATTGCTATGGAATGCAGTTTCTTTTAGGGTGAGTAAGAATTCTACAATAAATGCATAGCTATAAATACACTTAAAACATTGAACTGTGTGACTTAAAAAGATAGCTCTTACGCTATGTGAATTATATCTTAGCTAAAAGGTACATTTTAAAAAAATAAAAATATAACAGAGAATTAAGTTCTTGAACTAACATTCAAGTAAAGAAGGAGCATCTTCTTTTTCCTTCCTTGAACAAAATTTGTAAAAACCTCAGTCAGATTTCCTCTGAATACACATTTTATATTAACTCCTCTATTCTCAAAAGACATGCATTTGTGTTCCTTATTTTGATAAATCAAAAAGAGCAGAAACTTTGCCCCTCTGGGTGAATGCTTCCTTCTCTTGGGAAATGCATACTGATGGGGCTTCTCAAACAACTGAGTTTATTTACAGCTATCCATATATGGGATGCTTTTTCAAGAGACAACAGTCTCCACCAAATAATGATATTGGGTTTCATAAATGTCAATGGGCAATTAGATGTTTTCATCCGGAAAGCTTTAAGCAAACAGCCTTTTCTTTTTAAATGTAATATTGGAACTGAACTGAAATTAAACAGACCTCAAAGCTAGAGTAGACAGAATAACTGTGTGTGTGAGAGAGAGGGAGAAAGGGAAGGAAAGAGAGAAAAACAGACGGACAGACAGACAGACAGACAGAGCGAATCTTTCCACATGTACTTTAGCTCTTTACCCATTCTGAAAGACTAATCTACCCTCATTCAGAGACTGCTGCTTTCTTTTGAGTGAGACACATGCAGATGACTAAATGCACTTGAATGCACTAAATCTCAAAGTCAGGAAGCAGGGAGTGACCCCAAGAAATCACACTCACCCCTTCCGGAGCAGGGCAGGGCTGAGCTGCCCTGGCACTTCTTGAAGCTTTCCTCAGCGGACAGTGGGCAGGAGCGAGGGTGTTCACACTTCTTTCCATACCAGCCCGCTTTACAGTCGCATCTCCCACAGTTACACTGCCCATGACCTTCACAGCAGAGTGAGAAAGAATAAAGCGTGCATGAAGACGGTGCCAGGATTAGTTTCCAGTGTTCATTCTAACAGTGAATATCAAAAATGTGTCTGGGTCTTAATGAACACAAAATAAAATGCTAAGCCAAAGGTACATTCTTTCCAGATTACTAAAACTATATTAACCATTCACAGGGAGCAGAAAACAAATACAGATAAGGTCAGTGGTTAAATTCGGTTATTAACATGAATCTGTCAAATTCCAGATAAATGTGATTGCATTGCTCTACTGGGAGTGAAGAGTATTTGATGGATCTGGCAATTAGTTTCATGAGGAGGAGAGCTATAGGAAATGCAAATAGTTTGTTTTTGAAGCAGGATTTTCTGTTACTTGTAATGAATAATTTAACTGATCTTTATTTATAGTCCCAGCAATAGAAAAATTGAGGGCCACAAACTGACAAAAAGTAATGATGTCTGGAATTTGGGAGATGGGATTTTTTTTAGTCTATCTTTATTGAGCTATAATTGGCATATAAAAATTATATATAATTAAGTCCTGCCCAACACGATGTTTTGAAATACACTTCCAAATAGTGAATGAAAACCACAATAAGGTAATTAACATATCTTTCACTCATACAACTACTTGTGGGTGTGCTTGTGTGAAATTCCTTAAGATCTACTCTCATAAATTTCAAATATTCAATACACTATGAAAATTTCAGCCCCCATGCTGCAATTAGGTCTCCAGAACGTGTACCTCTTATAACTTTGAACATTTTCAGGCATTAAGCAATATTTCCACACCCCACCCCTTAGCCCTTAGTAAACCCCCTTAGACTTTCTAAGATTTCAGTATTTTCAGATTCTACATGATACTCATAAGTGAGATTTTGCAGTACTTGGCATCACATTTCTGGTTTATTTCACATAACATGATGTTCCTTGAGTTCATCCATGTCTGGGAAATACCAAGACATGTTTTTGGAGGGTGGACAGTACTCCTTCGTGTATATTTACCAGGCCTTCTTTATGCATTCACCTGCCAACAGACACTTTGGTTGCGTCCATATTTTGAATACTGTGGAAAACCTTCTAAGGTGTGCAAATCTCTCTCCCTCAAATGCTAGACTGTATGGCAGGTCTATTTTAACTTTTGGAGCAACATTCATAAAGTTTCATAAATAGTTTAATCATTATACATTTACAACAATGCGTAAGGATTCCTTTTCAACACATCTTTGCCAACACTTACATTTTTTATATCATCTGTCCCAGTAGGTGTGAAGTTTCATTGTGGTTTTGATTTGGATTTAGCCTAAAAATAGTAACTGGTGTGGAGTTCTTAACACTTAGAAACCAACCTTGCATTCATAAAAGAGACCAGGAATGTCAGTGCATTTCCAACTCCCCATGATGAACATAATCATTTCTCTACCCATGTACTAATAAAAACCTTAAAGAATAAAACAAATATTGGCTTAAAAAAGAAATATAAGCAATAAAGAAGATATTAAATTGCTTGGCCCATGGATACAGAGCTGGTAAAAACCCATGATGCAAAGCGCTAGGCTGTATCAGAAGTCATCCTGTATCAGTCATCAAATAGTGACTCCAGCTACTGGTCCTGCTGGTTCCAGAGTGGGACCCGTCAAAGGGCAACCTCTCTGATGCTCAGTATCTTCCTTTTTACATGGGAAAATAATACAATATCTGTCCACATTTATTCAGAAGTACATTATATATCTTTAAATCTTATGTTAAAAAAAAGAGCTGCTATTATTTTTATCCAGTTGAGCCCACGCATGGAACCAAGTAGAGGAAAATGATAATTTCAACTGAGTTTTTCACAACTCCTAATAAACAACCACAGCTAATCATCATTACAGACCAGAACAAAGTATATTTCTATAATTGCTGTAAGAACACATGAAGAACTGTAAAGGAATTGGAATGGCACTTTTAAAAATAAATCAGGGACAATGACAATGGGGAAAACCCATGCTATGTTGTTTTGGAGTCTGATTCAATGTATATTACACAATATGGAAATTGGGCTTCAGGGAGAAGTGGCCCCTTTAGCCAGCATTTTCTGACTAAATGTCAGATGTTTGCTATGTGTTCCACCTTGTGAGTCTGTAAAAATCGCACAATTCCCACTTGCAGATGATTTCACCATTCCTGAATCTGGTTCTTGTAGGGAAAATCACAAAATCACTGGTTAAATTGGGGGACCAGAACATGGATAATGTGATGCAAGTCTCTCATTAAATATTAAATTCACTTGTATTTCTTGAACACTTACTGTGCAACACCTGTCTAACCAGTGGAACTCATCATTTTAAAGGAAAAAAATTGATTTCCAATAACTCTCTATTACATAGCAATATAATTGTTTAGATCTTCCAACTATAAGATGTTTCTTACACTTGTTTATATTTAATAACAATTGTACGTCATAGGTTTTTGACATGGCTTTTTGACATTTATTGTGGCTTAAGAAGTTCCTACTCTTCTCCCCAACTCCCAAGAAAGTTAGCACAAACTTTGCAAACAGCTCCATTGGAGATTCACACACATATAACCATTTTTAAAGCTGAAACCTTTAGCATTTAAAGTACAATCAATTCTGTTGTTTTGTAAGGGCCAAGAGCTCTAAAATTCTCACAGATCAGAGGTTTCATTTGGGGAACAGTGAGATCTGCTAGAAGGAGACTGGACAAAGTACAGAACATGCTGCCCTCCATGGAGGAGTGACCGGCACTCCTAAGGTAAACAGAAAAACAGACTGAAGAAGGAAAACTCTTCTCTGGCTTGGAAGTTTGAAATGACCATAAACATTAGAACAAAAACGTTAGAGGAGGACAGTGCGAGGAAGTCCCTAATGATCCTAAAGAACCCACCTGCTGCAACGGCCCCTGAGCTCTCAGACAGTCACCATGCTCACAGGAGGATTCCCTTTCCTGGCAGGAAGAAAGAAGCAGAAGCACCAGCCTTAGAGGCACAGCTAGGTATCAAGGGAGACCAGTCCCCAAGGAGGAAGTAGCTCAAGGAAGAGAGCTGCAGGGCGTGCTGAAAGGCAATAATTATTTTCCAGCCAAGGCCATTCACAGGTTGACATTTTTTAAAAATGTCATAGAACAAAACAAACCCTAAAGAAGGTCAGAAGTTATTAAAATGATATTTTTAGAATTGGAATCTGATCTAATTAACATCAAAGGAAGTCAGATTAACTGTGGAGGATTTAATGCATTTTCCAAAAAGGCAGATGCTCTAGACCAGGCAAAAGAAGGCTTGAAGAATTCTTTGTCTTCAGGTCTGCACATTCACTTTCATTTTCCTGTCATCTCTAAGCCTTTTCACCCTGTAATGTCATCTTATTATTTCTGCTTTATCTTTCTCTCCCTTGGCTGTTTCCTGTGTCTTCTGCAAGCAAGGAGGGCAAAGAGCCTACGAACTCTCTGGCCACTACTGGCTGTGTAGTTAATGCAGTATTATCAGCGTTCTCGAGGCTTGTGTCTGGGAATTTTCACTTCAACTTCAACCACTGGCAACTCGAAGCACAGTTGAGGACACATTCTTTTGTCATATGTGTGATGACACCTAGCTCCCTGTGCTTTCTGCCTCAGCCTTGTACACCAGTCCTCCTTAATCTCCCTCATCAAACCTCTCTAAGCAACACACCTGAAGTTGAAGGACCACACCTGGGTTTGGCTTTGCACCAAATGAGAAACTACTACATTGTTAGAATATTGTCTAGTTCAGGATGGCCGCTGGTGCCCCTCAAATCATCCACTCATGTGTCCTCTGTAATAGAATCTTTGCTGTCAATACTAGGTACACAAGTTTAAATTGAGAAAACAAGAGGTATTAAAATAGAGGCAACAGAAACAAGCCACACCTTTCATGAACAAGGCTGCTGATAGGGATCACACAGTGATCAGTTTAAATGAGGAAATAATGACATGGTATGCATTTTGAAGGTTTGATCACTTGGCAAAAGTTAGATTTCCTAAATCAAATATCTCCATAAGTCTTAAAGGAGAAATGAGTGTAAAAGGAGCAGGGAAAGACTTTGATATGTGTGGTCTACCACAACGAAAATGTGTACCTTTACCAAGTGCAATGGTCTTACATGTTTTATATGTTCTTTAGCGCTTCAGTCTGGATTTCTATACATGAAATTTACGTTTATAAGGTCTTATAAGATACATAAATGTGTCTGATGCTTGAAAGGTTATAGAGGGATAGGAGGAAGTGGAATGAAATGTGTTATGTACCTGTAACCAATTCCTTATACATGAAGTCATCATTATGTGCTGCAAACATGTACTAATAGAAGTAAAAAAAAAAAAAAAAGCATTAACAAAGGCATTGCCTGATTCACATACTTATTAGAGATTAACTGTCAATCTCTTTGATTTTCTTGGCAAGGAGAGATTATATCCTTTATCTTTCAAACTTTGTCATGTGATATCAAAATACATGTCAGTGTATTAGCTGTCCCAATCTAAGTGAAGGCATTCATTTCTTACAAATTTCTTTATGGAATTTGATTTGGTAGAGTCAGAAAATCAAGTAGAAATGTAAACTTTTGATAGCAGATTCTGGCAAGTTATCGAGTCACAAAACTATCTAGAAGTGCAAGGTATTGGTATCAGATTATGAGGAAGACACTGAGCCTTTCAGAAAAAGAAAAAAAACCAGGAAATTATGAAATAAAATTGCCATATTTTCCTTCTGGAGTTATTAGTTTCTCAATTCCAATATAAAAGTTATTCCAAACAGGAAAGAAAGGAATAATCTAGGAGGGATAAAACCAGAGAGGTAAAAATGCTTGTTTTTCTAAAGAAGGGCTAAGAAATTATGAGTTCTGTTTATCATGAAAACCTTGTAGATTCCCCTAAAATATTATATCAAGGTCTTCTATAAACAGATAGTGAAAAAGACATAAAAGAAATTAGATCACTTGATTCTTGATTTATATGTACCATTATCCCTTCTGGACCTCATCTCAATTTAATTTATTTTTCAAATGGAAATAACTAGACGTAAAAATTTCCACATTGATTTCCATGCTAGTTTGCCACATCCATGTATATTTTGAGGCTGTAGGAGTTACTTTCATTGATTCTACAAAAATTATTTAAACTGTGTAGGCAGAGGCTCAGCAATGTAGACATGAAAGACAGGGCATCTTGTGATTTATCTCTGATCTCAAACACCAGAAGAATTCAAATAAGAGAAGCACTCTCAGAAGACTTGTGTATATACACTAACACAGACATACACACAAACATAACACAACTCAGTTGTGGAAGGGCATGTAGTGCTTACTCATAATCACGTACGGAAGTGTGAGCAAAGGCCAAACCAACCCCACCGCAGACACAAGAGAGTTCCTGGCACGACCACAATCACGCCCATGCTTGAAAGGCAGCAGCTATGTAGAATCTCAGCCTATTACACAAAGGACGTTGACATCAAAATACCATTTTATTTGTAATCATTGTGTTCTTCTGTGTGAGTCTATTTAAACTCTAGAAATACCAGTTCAGGACAAATTAGGTTGATGGTTGATGTTTTCTCAAACAAAACACTTTTCTGATGGAGAGGATATTTCTTTCTTTTTAAATGTTCAAAATGTACCCATGAATTACAAACTTGAAGTTTATAAGTAGTTGCTTACAAAGTAACACCAAAACCATCAAGAGGGGAATGCTTCAGAGAATAAATCAGATCTAGCTAGTACTTGTTACTTTCAAAACCTAGTCTATTCAGTATTTTGATTTTTCTTACAAGACAAAGAATTTGAATATACTTAATCATTTCCATCAGTTTTTTTTTTTCCTTAGCACTTTGGTAATTCACAATAATGACCCTTCCCATACACTATAGTTTTTTCAACTGATTCAATTTTTCAAGTTAATGCAATTTTAAATCAAGTCTATCCTTATATATTTCTCATTTTGTTAAAACAAGTTGAAAAATAATGTTTAAATACTGCAGTAAATTTTTCTAATAACAAAATGTGGGGAAATAAAATTGGAATGCTAAACAGCCCTCAGGAATAAAGGAATTATTTCATAATCAAGGAATAAATTGAGTGTAACAAACAAAATGATCAATGTATTTTTTGATGATTGTCCATGTCCTGGTCAGTGTCACACTCAAAATTTCTCAATCGTCTTTTCTTCAAGGGTGCATGTGTGCATATGGGTGCTTGATTCATATTTGTGTATAGAATAATGAACATAGTATCAACTATAACACGTCAGTGATGAATAACAGATAGGAATAAAAAAAGAAAGAAAGAATTGATTAATTTGGGAGCAAGTACAATGTCAGCATATTTGTATCCCATCATGATAATGTACTAAACACAAAATATTTATAGAAAAGTATATCATTGATTAGATGAATAGAGTAGAACAAATGAATAGAATGAGAATATTGATGAAAAAATCACCTTAAACTAACCTACTCAGAGACTTCCCTTGGACTTCAGTAAAACCAATATCACCAGGATGGCAAGAAAGCAAGCTAAAAATAAAATTGCATTGTATCTGAGATTTACTACAATCAGCCTTGCAAGAATCACTAGAGAACACTGATGCTGTTGTATTTCTTCTGCCTAGGAATATTCACATGCACAATAATGAACTGTATAACATCCTTTCTACAGTGCAACATACTGGCAATTAGAGGAATCATAAAGTCTCATAACTCTGCAAAATAATATATAGAATTCTACATAGTTATTAAGAATAAAGAAATATCCTAGAGATTGATAGCTATGCAGATCATCATCATGTTCAAAAAAACTTAGTTTTATAATAACTTTGATATCCCAAAATTTCTTCATTAACATAAAGAAAAATTGAAAAATTTTATTTGTATCACTCCAGATTACATTACATGAGTACTAGGCTATACGTGTTTTTAAATGACACTTAACGACAGTGTGAATCTCATCAAGCTACTTAAATTCTCTGAAATTATTTCCTCTGTTGAAATGCAGATATTAATGTCTCTCTCCCTGAGTTTGTGCAAAAATAAAGTGGAACTGAGTATAAGAAAGAACTCATTAAATCCTGACAGAATAGCACTTCTCAAGGTGAGTCCTTTGACCTTCATTTCCTAATCCTAGGGCTGGGAGTCATGCGGTGGTGGACTGGCCACACTGAACCAGTGAACAGAAAGAATCTGAATAACTGCACCGCCAAGCACCGATGACTGCTCAGGCACCTATCACATCTCATAGGCCATTGTCTTGGTTAAATTTCTCTCACTGCTGAGACAAAATACCTGACACCCAAAGTGAAGGAAGGAAAGACTAATTTAGCTAACAGTTTGTGAAGGTTTTGGTCTGTAATCAGCTGGCTTGAAGGCAAGGTGACATGGCACCAGAACAACACTTCAAGGCAGCAGACAACAGCAAAAGCAGCAAGAGCAAAAGAGGGGAGAGCCAGCCTCTTTTCCTTCCTTATGTTGTAAGCAAGCTACCCCCCAAGGCGAGTGTAGCGCTCACATCATCTTCCTGCCCTGGGTCTTACCCTCCTGCAGGATGTGTACAAAGTGAGGGCCCTGGCCTCCTGCTGAGTCACTTACTGAGTTTCAAAACTTCTCAGTTCCAACCATTACAGATACAAGAAAATATGAGCAAGAGGAAAACAGGCATAAGAGAGGAGGGAGGAACAGGTGATATGGAAATCTAGCTCCCCTGGGGATGAAACCACATCACCTGCTAAAGTCAGGGCACTAACTCTAAACCTAAAGAACATGCAGTTCCTTTCCCTCCTATGAAAGTAGAGAAAATCACCCACGGAAGCCCTCACCTGGCCTCACCCCAGGAAGCATGCCCTCACAGTGCAATGGGTGACCTTGCAGAAGACTAGAGTATCACTCTACTGTAGTGTGGCAGTCTTTTCAGTTTTTCAACTTCCCTCAGAACTCAGGATCAAGATCAGAATCACGGCTCTCACTAGGCAAGGTAGTATGCACATTAAAAGGAGCACATTAGTGAGTGACAAACATGATTTTTAGATGCAACCTGGTAATCATATCAACTTTTCTTTTTAAACCACGTGAATTTGTGCTGATCTACAGATAGTTTTAAAATGGCATTCATAAATGATGTTTCCTAGGGCTGGGGATTTAGCTCAGCGGCATAAGTGTCTGCCTTATAAGCAGGCAGTCATGAGTTTGATCCCCGCTACTGATAAAAAGGAAAAAGACAATAAATAAATAAATGATGTTTCTTGAACTAGCATGGTTTTAACTACCAATGCTGTGCCTAAAATCCTAAATTCTCATGTTCAAGCCTGGCTCGCATATTCAAAACGCTGGAAAAAATACCAAATTTGGCCGTCTATTAATCTTTTATGCTCACAGTTAAGAAAAAATTAGGTAACTTCCTCTTTTCATCTCACTCTAGTAAATGGCACCAACATTGACCCAGACAATCAGATTAAACTTTGATGACTACAGGTTTTCTCTACCTAAAACTCTCACAAGTCCTCCATTGCCTTCAGAATAAAGTCTAGTTCTGCAGCAAAGTAAAAAATGCCTTCCAGCTGCTGCTTTTCACAAGCTTTACTGTCCCTCCCTTTCCTTCCTGGTATATTCCTGTCAGTTTAAAGTGATTTTAGTGTCATGTGTGGTCATCTACCTCCATTCCTTCTTCCTATGTGCCCTTCTCATCTTTTATGACCTGCAAACATGCCTGCAAGGCAGAGCCCCCCAAGCACTACAATCAAAAGCATCACCACCTCTGTGGAAGGCCACCTGACCCTAACTCAGATGTCAAATAGGCCCATCTCCTAACTTCCTCAGCAAGCCTTTGGCATTTTGAAGCCACTCAGCAAGTGTCAGTTGTTTTATTATCATTGTGTTGATAATGACAATAGCAAAGAACACCCACATAAATAATGAATCTCAAAACTTCCCTTGAAGGAGTAGTGTTCTCTAAATGTTTAGAAAATCCTGGGAAGCAAAAGGGAAATCCTCCTGGGAAATTTTAGTGTCTGGCTCCCTTCAACCCTGAAAGTCCCACAGTCACAACTGAACAGAGGAGCTCTTTTATCTCAGCTCTTTCATCTACCTTCAGGAGACCACAGGAGCTTTCTCTCTGTCTGCATGCACCAGGTAAGCAGTTGGCTTAGATTCATATCCTTGCATGTCTGTCCTCTGGATTGTCAGCCGTTCCTGAACTGAAAACTCATAGCGCTATTTTTGCTAAATGACACTCACTTTCAGATAACCCTGAATGCTTTTTTTTCCCCACTATTATTTTTATTTTTCCACTATTAGACAGGCTGGCTGGCTGTCTTGGTGTTTAGACTGTGAGCTTCATAAGTTCAAGTATCATGTTTGTCTTTTTCCTTGGTTGATCTTGGACACTGCTCAGACTCTGAAAAGCAGTACTGCCCCATAAATATTAAAAACATAGAATGTTTGAATCCACTGATTAATATTAAGTTCTAGACTATATTACAGCATAATTTTGTGCTATGCTAAGTTTCTCAATAATTTAACACAGTTACTTTTATGGTATTTTTCCCGTTCACTGACACTGAGTGTTTTCATGGGCTCTGCTGAGTTGAGAAGTTATACCTGTCTAGAGGGAATGATTGTCTTTGGTAAGGAATTATATTAATTTTAAGTGAATGGGTAAGCTTCCACTTCTAGCCTCTGCCTGTGGAAGAATATTTGGTTTTGTTTCTGGAAGTTTCCCGAGTAACTTGAAAGAACACTGCAAATACGAAATGCGTTAAACTCATGTTCTGTTTCTTTAAGTGTCTATCAGAATCAGAACAAATCTCGATAACTGAGAAATTTTTTTTTAATTTAAAACTAAAGGCGAGGTGTTCCCTTACCTGAGCAGAAGTCATCAGAGTATCGATCATAAACAGATCTGCAGTCTCTTTCATCACACTCACAGGTATCCCCATGAATGTCTCCCCAGTCTCCCGTTGGATCAACATCATGGCAAGAACATTCACCACACACGCAGGTCCCTAGAGGGAACAAAGAACTTTATACAGATCTAGTTAAGAAAATCCGTCAAAGAACTTTCTCACCTGTTGTTTTAGTTTTCTCTGTTGCTTCTCTTGTGTTTGGAAAACATATATATTCAGATAAAAAGATGTTCAAAAATAGGAAAATACCATCTGAAGTTGCAAGTAGAAATTCCTTAATAAATAAACAGAAGTTATCCCCTATGTTCACAATGATGTGAAACAGTGCTGTGTGTCATTAGCGCTATGCTAGTTCCTTTCAAATATAAGACCAAAGCAACTAACATGAGAGATAGTTTAGAGAGTGTGCGATCTAATTAGTGACAAGAACAAAGGCTAAAGAAAGAGACGCTAGCATGTTCCAGGATCATCGGTTCCAACATTTGTAAACCACAGGAAATGATGTATAAGTGTGTGAAGGAGAGATGTGCATGAGTTGGGGTAAGAAGAAGTGGAAGATCTGGATGTTCCAAGGTGGGAAAATGTCCTAGGAAATTAGGGGTGGGTGTGGACCCCACAGTGCCCATGAAGTGAGGTCAAGGAGGAAGTCTGAGGGGTTAGGTGAGTCCAGGTTATGGAGAGCACTGGAAAACAAACTAAAATGTGTCACCTCGGTCATCAGGATATGTGCTTAGAGAAGTACTTTGTTGTAACCCATATTTGTTTTATTAAAGCTTTTTTAAAAATTAATTTTATTGTACACTCGAAATATATAAAGATCACACCATATTTACTTTGTGAGGATTATCAGTAATTGTTTTTGGGCAACCATCTAATTATTTGGGGAAAAATAAATTTGAAAATTTACTCTTTTCAAAATACCAATAGGATTACAGACTTAAATATAAAAATTAGAAACATAATTTTACTCAGAATCCTCCCAAAGCAAAACTACTTAAGGGAAATATACAAATAGACTTCATCATATAAAAGTCTAAAATTTTGATTGGGACCAAACACTATTTTTAAAAAAATGTAAAAGATTTTTAAAAAGCTGAAACAAGTAATTTTTATGAACTTAGAAGAAAAAGCTAATTCACAAACACATAAATAATTCTTAGGAGTAAAAATACAAAGGTTAATATACATGAAATAAAACATGAAAGAAAAGAACAATAGAAAACTTCATAAAGAAATAATAATCAGTATGAGAACTGTTTACCTCCTCAACCTACTATTAATAATACGACTTACATAGTGAGAGATCTTTAGGGAAAACAGGGAGTTGGAATGATTTCTGGTGTTAGACTGTCACTGCTAAGAGAAACTGCAGGACCCAGGGCTGGTGAGGGAGTGGTATGGTGGGTGGGTGATCTCCAGTTCTGAAGTGTGTTACAAAATGCTTCACTGCTCTGGGTGGCGATTTCACAATATGTTCTTGTTAGATACATGTTATTATTCAGCATAATAGCCCTCTTCAACAACTACAAGGAAAAGTACATAAAAGAACCTACTCAGGAATATCAAATATGACTGTATTTATTTTAGTGAAAAACTACCAGTGTTCCAATTATCAATCAACAGGGAATTAGTGCAGTAATGATATGTGTTTAACATGGGTCACAAAACAGTCATTAAATGTAATAATTGGCTCTTTTATGCTGATGTAATCAAAATATATATTAAATAGAAAAATTTAAAAAATCAGTGTGTAAAGTACAATGCAATTTTCGTGTTCAACAAGAAGATGGTATAAATGGCCATACTTCTCCAGAGGAGAGGGAAAGTCACAGGAATTAATTTAAGTGAATAAAAACCCTGGTAGAACATGTTCTAAAACATGAAAGGGGTTTAATCTAAACGTTACTGGTCACCCTCTTTTACTTCTTCCTACTCTGCTGTTACCATGCTTCTTATAAATGGAGGCGCATGACAGTTTAAATGATGGAGTGGAGACAGGGATGAGCAAATCCAAAGAAGAAGTAACATTTAGTCATGTTCAAAGGACGGTCCACTGAGTGCTCTCCAAGCCAGGTGTGCAGCAGAGAGCTTTACCATCCCCACTTAGCTACACCTACAATACCACTGTCTTGGTCCCTGGAGATGGGCTGGAAAGGAAGACCAGGTAGATCCGTGCAGTGAATAGTGTCTCTCTTTTACCAAACAAAGCAGTGAGAAGGAGGTGGCATCAGATTAGACACAGGTGACATTTTCCGAAAAGGACTCATCTCATAGCAGGCAGCTCACAACCTGTGTGACCCACTAAGGCAAGTTCCCCCATGCTCTTTATCTGCCAAATCTGCAAAAGCCAGTGCCCCAAGCAGGAGGCTGGACCAGGGACAGGAGGTCCGATGTGAGTCTCTGAGAGGGGCTCTGACACTCACAGCCCACTAGCCTGCTTCAGAGTCTGGCTCCAGTCCACACCCCACCTGCCCCCTCCCCATGTTGGTTATTTTTCCAGTTGTGTAACTTCAGACAAAATGTTGGGCTTGCACACTATTGAACAAACAGGACATCAACGAAAATATGTCTTTATACACTTAAATAACACACAGTTATTATGTATAGTAAAATGTAATCGACATTGAAGAAAAAACTTTTAATTGTTTTGGTTCCAAGTTCAGGACTTTTGCTCTGCAAAGAAATGAGAGCTGCCCTATCTTTCCACTTCAGCTTTCAAAAGCTGTTTGAGCCGTGTGTGTGTGTGTGTGTGTGTGTGTGTGTGTGTGTGTGAGAGAGAGAGAGAGAGAGAGAGAGAGAGAGAGAGAGAGAGAAAGAGAGAGAGAGAGAGATCTATAAGGGTCAATTAATAACTAAGAGAAATGAAAACACAGTTTTCCACTAGCTAGATGTTATAATTTTATAGAAGGCATTATGGCTCAGGTGGTTCTCTGTTATCTACCTCTAAAGCAGAAAATGGGAAAAATAACAAACAATTTCCAGAATTTTTAAGAGCTGGTTAACCTGTTTGCTTTTATATCAACAGCAAGCTAACTTTTAATTACATTTTATTATTATGAACTACTTTTAAAGTTGTCCTATTTCAGGTCAGTCTAAATTTCACATGGCAACTGGATATAAGTTTCTCCTATAGCGAGTGTATTCAATCCCATATAGAAGTTAAATGCATCTACATCAATCCTGCCTTTCAGCCAAGCTTTCCATTTGCTCATAATTAAGACAAGAAGGCTTTCTGAATGTGCTCTGTATAATTAGATGCTCATACTGTCAATGGTTCTGAGTGGAGACACTTAGCAGGAGCATCTACAAGAATTGCCTTTTAGCTGTACCATGACATTTCTGGGTGGCTGCCAAAGAAATGACAGTCCCTATGTTAACCATTTGTTCAGTGAAGCTTAAGTACAATAACAAACTTTCTTATCCTTTAGTTTTCTGCTTAGTAAAGAAGACGAAAAAGAAGATTGTTGTTATAATAGAGATCAACTTATATCAAAGTACATGATTACAAAGATGACTCCTTCCCACTCTTAGGAAATGCAGGGAAGTGTTAAAAGCGAGGGCTTCTTGTTCGCTTTCCAATTATGTAGTAACGTGTATGAACGACGCACCTCTGTTGCTGCAGATTTCGCCATCTGGAGACGTGCATTTTCGCTTGCTTTCCCAGGGGGTAATGTCGCACTGGAATTCACATTTATCTCCATGCCAACCAGCCTCGCAGTAACAGTTTCCACAGTAACACTTCCCATGGCCTTTACCCAAAAGAATTTTACACAGTGAGGAAAAAAGCAACTTTTCAAAGCAGCGTTAACTTTCTACCTCTTCATAATTGCTTTTGCCTTTTAATATAAGAGATGTTGCACATCTCTTGCTGAAACAATCAAATTACATAATTCTTCCTCAAAACATCAAAGTGGAGTTTATACCTGGACTCTGTATTTGCATAATTATATTTGCCTAATTATACAAGTTAAACAAACCAAATTGTCCTTTAGCTGGACCCACACAGAGAACTGATTAAAATGAAAGTGTTTAAAAAAAAAATAACATGAATGACTGAAAAAATCTATTACTTTGCATCCTCAGTTACATGCATCAGATTCCAATGCATGTAAGCATTCACCATGGGGGCATTTCCTCAATTAGGCATTAAAATGTTTATTTGAAGTTAACTACTCAAGAAGCAATAGTGGCCATTTAGTTAGATAACATTATTAATGACTGAACTTTTTTTAAACCAGAGGAAATAGATCAAGTTTTCATTCATCTGTGTCCTACCAGCGGTTGTATCCCTCTGTGTGGAAAAGAGGTTTTCTACTAAGTCTATACTTCATCTTGGTTTGGACCAATAAAATATTGTAGATGCTGGTCTCACAATAAAATCCTTACCAATTTGTAAAGAGAAAAAAAAAAAGGCCATTAGCGGGCACCTATCACTTTATCCAGATGTCACACTTTAAGCTCCTGTCTTTGTATACTCCGTTATCTACCCATTTGTACATCCCACCAAGCTACTGGAATGAATTTGCATATCACTTCATTCATGTCAAGTATGTCTAACCAGCCTTCTACAAATTCCCAAAAGATGTCACTTACTCCCAAATTTACTTCTTGTGCCTTCTCTTCCTTGTACTTATGCTACCCAACCATGAATGGATGTCCTAATTTTTGTTTTAAGTCTATTCTCTCGGTTTTAGGAGCTTGTTTTTTTATCCATCTCTGTGATTAAAGTATTGGTTCTCCTAACTATCTTCTGTTTTTATAGACATAATTCCAGAAGGGTCATAGAAAATCAACTAAGGGGCTATTTTTCAATCTCTAATAACCTATTTTTCATTCTAGTATTACAGCATATCTATCCAATGGCAAGAGTATTAGTAGGGTCTAACAGTGAAACTCAGATAAGAAGTGGGAAAGATTATGGCATATTCTACTATGCTCTGTCTTTCATGTCCAGAAGATGTGACTTTCATCAAGGAAACATAAATGCAAGAAAAAGAAAAATATTAAAAGATAGATTACTTGAGATAGAAACAAGAACAGAAAGACTCAAGCACACAAGGCTGTTTCCTGTCTAAATGAGCTAAATGAGCTATAATTGAAGTATCACAGAAAACTTCTCCCTAACTTCAGAGACAGTGACAATTTCCTCAACACATTTTAATTTGTTCACTTAAGCAAAAGCAAGAACTATCAAATTATTTAATCAGAAATGAAATATATCACTTCTATATTTTATTTATTAACTTAAAATTTCTCTAGATGTGCAAAATCAAAAAGTCATATTTTAGTGCTATATAACAAGCCTTGGGAACTTGAGAATTACACTGCAAAAAATCATAACTATGCATTAATTGCTTTTCATAGGAGTCAAATTTTTAAGATTCAATCAACTTTTCTTAGACTTAAATAGACATTATTTCTTCTGTAATTTCTGGAAATTTATATATAAGGTACTACACAAAGATAAGCATCATAAATTTACATATTCTACAATGAAGATTTCTGTTTACTTATAATACTCAATATTCAATTAAGGTTTTCCTAAGCAGTCATTGATATAAGGGTGAATAGGAAAACAAATACTATGCATAGCTATATATATATACAGACATAAGAAAGTTAAACAGATATCCATAAACCTAATGGGAAAATATTAGGCCATGATCAAAAAATATCTGTACCAAGGCATATAACAGTCAAGAGCCTAGAAATTCAAAATACAAACAAGATAGTAAAAGCTACCTAAAAAGAAAGGCCCATTAGAATCACAGTAGACTCAGCCAAGGATGTAGTTCAACAGCACAACACCTGCTTGGCTAGGGCAAGGTCCTGAGTTTGATTTGCAGCACAAAAGAAGAAAAAAGAATCACAGCAGACTTTTCCACACAAACCCTCAAATCATGGGGAGCTTGGAGTAAAGTGTTTCAAACCCTACAAGAAAACAACCTCCAACCCAGATTGATGTACCCCACAAAACTCTTCCAAAATCTATAATGAAATAAAATATTCCAATGTCAAAAAAACACCTGAGGAAAATCATGACACCAAACCAGTTGGTGTCCAAAATGTTCTGAAGAACATTCTAGAAAAAAATAACAAAAAACTACAGCTCCACCTAAACAGTGGAGTAAATCCACTAGGCAAGGCAAGCAATTAATCAGAGTGAGGGAAAAAGGACACCAACAACAGGAAAATAACATCACAAGGATAAGTCAATATATACCAGTTATAACCATCAATGTTAATGACCTCAATTCACCAGTCAAAGATACAGACTGACAAAATAGATTAAAAATAAGACCTAACAATATGTTGCATTCAAGAAAAGCATTTAAGAATACTACAGTACTCTAAAAAACTGAATCAAGAAAATATAAAAATTTTAAATAAACCAATAACAGTCAGTGAAGTTGAAAATGCAAGTAAAAACCTACCAACAAAGGAAATCTCAGGCCCTGATGGATTAATTGCTGAATTCTATAAGAAATTTAGAGTATATCTAATGCTGCTACTCCTCAAACTCTTTAATGAAACTGAACAGCAAGCAATACTCCCAAGGTGATCGGAAATGAACAGACACTTCTTAACTGAAGAAGTAGAAACACAAATAGAAATATTAAAAATGTTCAACATTACTGGTCATTCAAAAAATACCAATTTAAACACCAATGAGATTCCATTTCATTCCAGAAAGAATAGCTATTATCAAGAGAACAACCAATAATGAAAGTGAAGGGCCCTTGAAGGATAAAGGAATCCTTCTCTACTGTTGGTGAGTGTGGACTGGTACAATCATTGTAGAAATCAGTGTGGAGGTTCCTGAAAAAACTAAAACTAGAAGTTCCATTTCACTCAGATATTCCCCTTCTTGGTGTCTTCATGAAAGAATTTAAAGCATCATACATAGGCACGCCTATGTTTATGGCACCACAGTTTGTAATAGAAATTTTGGAAACAACACAAATGCCCATCAACTAATGAATGAATAAAGAAGATGTGGTATTGTTATGCAATGGAATACGAGTCTTCCACAAAGAAGGATAAGCTTAAGACCTTTCTAGGTAAATGAATGCACCTTGAGACTATACTGCTAAGTGAAATAAATTGGACACACATGTAAATATTGCATGGTTTCTGTGGTGTGAGAGACTGAAAGGACCAAATAAGGACCAAAATGTATAACAGATATCGAGAAAGGAGAACATGTTCAAGAGAAAAGGAGAGTGCAGGAGGTATAGGAGAAAAAGAAGAGACAAGTAAAAGAATAGAAGGAAAAAAAATGAAATGAAACTTTGCCAATAAAGAGAAGAAGAGAGGCTAAAGAGAGTGGAGGAGAATGGGGGAAAATAAGCAAGATATATGATGTACAGGTATAAATTTTCTATGATGAATGTTATCATTATGTATATCTGAAATGTATCAATAAGATAAAAATAAATGTGGGGGACTAAAGCCCCTTACATTAAAAAATACATTATAAGACATACTGGAATAATTGAGACAAAATATAAGTTTCAGAACAATACATTTTCTAGGCCATAAACATAACTTTTTATTTTGCATAATGTGATATAGCAAAAAAATCTTATTGTTGTCTCCATAATAAACTATTGAACTACTATAGACTATAGAATTTTCAACAGATTGGTTTCCTATGAATATCAGATGGGAAGATCTACAGTGCAAGACATGGTCATCCCAGAGGATGATACTGAGTAATAGTGGTTGTGGTCAGAGACTTTGCAACATAAAGTTGCCCAATCCCTAAACAATGGAAAATAATAAAACAAGTGACAGTCAAGCATTTCCTCTTATGCTGTTTTAAGTTAAATTTTTATATTTATGCATTTGAGTAGACACTGCTGTGGTGCTATGTATTAGAATCCAATGGCTCTAAACCATATTCCTTTCTTATTCTTAACTTGTAGTAACTAGAGATGAAATACCAAGAAGTAGATTCATCAATTACTTTATTTTGGACTAAACCCTCAGAGGAATGTGCTGAGGTCACAGGACCCTCATTTAGCTTGGGTCACAGGCTTAGAAAAATTAACTGAAGATTTGTGTGTGTGTTTAGTTTAACCCAGGTGAATTGCAAAGCCAAGAAAGTAGAGAGAAAGGACAGTGAAGGTATAAAACAAGAATAACTAGATGATGCTACAGCAGGAATGGAAGCAGCAACAATATAAACAACAAGGACGCTATCATGCTAGTGACATTTTCACAGGACCTTCTGGTTCCTTCTGACCCTGTTTGTCCCTGATTATCCCAAGAAAAAATACCCTTTTCACGTGCAGGACAGGATTCCATGGACTATGGCACATGAGTGAAATGTAAGTTTAAAAATAACAGAGGAGACTTTATTAACTGAAGTGATTCTCACCACTGTCTACCTCCATTTTGTTGTGCCAGTCAAGGTTGTCAATAGAAACCCAGGAAAGGCCTGCAGGTAGGTAAGAAGAAGAGAAAGAAACTGCAGATGTCAAGGAAGAGCTCTTCTCGTGGAGCTCTAAACTCCAAGGTATCAGTGCAATCTGAATGATGAGGTGTCAAGAACAGTTTCTAGCACCAGACAGATGGGAGTCTAAATTCTGTCATAATTGATGAAATGAGCCGGAGTAAACTGTCTAATTTTTCCAAGTCTCAGTTTCCACATCTGTCTGTGGGGATAAAATTAACTTTTACCCTAGAGGGATGTTGTGAGATATATGGATGCAAAGCACTTACTGTGGTTTGTGATACTTGAGGAAATGATACAATATAGCATGATGCAATACAAAAATGAGTTGAGTAATAATGGAGACCCATGGAAAGGGGACAGGGAGAAGAGATAAACTAAGCTAATCAGCCTATCAGACTTCAGTTGTCTTAGTAGGATATGTGAAGAGAATGAAATTAAGACATAAGGATAAGAGATTATAATTATAGTGGCTAAGATGAGCAAAAAAGGTGACATCCCACTAGACCTGATTCAGATCTATGCAACTGGCCTGTTGTCAAATGATGTGACTCTCCTCTAGTCACATCCTTTTAAATGTGAAACAATCCAGTTTCACATTTAAAAAGTGCTAGTCTATTGTCCAACTCTCCACAGATAGAGTGTTCTCCTAATGTTTTGGTTTGTATTCCAATGGCCCTCCCAAGCCTCATGCAATCATGGACTCAGCTGAGTCTGGTGGTCATGACTGGGTTGCTGTCTGGCGCTGGGATTGGTGGTGTGAGTGCTACAGCTGCCCAGGGGTGGAGCAGGTATACAGTATAAGGACAGGAAGAAGTCATTTCTTTCCTCTTTTGCTCTATTCACACTTTCAATTTGTGGTGGCATGAATGGCTGTCCAACCATGCCATTATGTCTTTGGAGCCAGATGAATATGGACTAAAACCTCCAACCTATAAGAAATAAACCTTCCTTTCTTTCATATTGGGCATCAGGTACTTTGTCTTAGCAATGAGAGAAAAGTAACCAAGATGCCTAATAAGCACAAATTCAAAATAAATTTGAATGCAACAGTAGAAACTTGTGTAAAAATAAAAGTATAATGAAATGGGTGAAAAAAATGGGTACTTTCATGAGTTTCCATGGTTAACATACATACCTCCACATATTTCTTCTGTTTCATCATCTATGCATTCTCTATCATCACATTCACAAAATTTACCATAAACAAGACCATTTCCATCTGAATCATCACACTTACATCTGCCACAGTGACATGTACCTAAGGCATGAAAGCAAAAAAAAAGGACTTTGTTAGATGCATATCAATTATAATGAATGAAGCTTTATCTTGTTTACTTCTAAAGGCCAGGAAATTTAAATCAATTTAATATTTCAATTATATGTACGGATAGGGAGATATAGAAAATAAACTGCTCTTTTTGAGATTATGAGGGCACAACAGTGATTTTACACACAGCTATTGCTATTGACCTCTAATAGTTTAGTGAATGCAAATTTGATCTCCTCAAGTGCAGAGATACTTTACACATATCCCTTCAACCAAATCATGAATATTATTTTGATTACACCTGAGTCTGAAGTGAAATAAAGCAGAAAATTCCAAGCTTTATGATAGAAGTAACCTTGCTTATCTTTCTCACCAGTATTTATTCAAAGCTTTGCACAATGTTTGAACATGTGATTTCCATAATAAATATTTGTGGAAATAATTTATCAAATGCATAAATGAAAAAGTTCACGTGTACCTGATAATTTTGTATTCTCAGCATTAACTGTTATCTGTCTTCTTTTGATAACAGGAGCATGGTGAGTTCTCTTATGAAGATTCCTGGGGCTTTAAAGAGTCTCAATGTTGCTCAGTGTGATATAGTGGTATTGGAGTCATCTTGTCTATCATAAGCCACGTACTCATCTGAGTCTGAGTGTTTGATTACAGCCCCAAGAGTGATTTCACTAATAGGAATACTACTCTACACTAAAGTGATATGGAGAGGTAGGATGTCTACCTGAGGAACTTCTTTTCTATTTTTATTTTTAAATCTACATTTTAAAAATTTATATTTGATAGGGCAGATATCATTTATTTAATATGATACAGCAGTCATCATATTAAACTTAGGAGTTTGTCCATAGCTGGACACCACCCTAGACTATGGAAATCTAATAGGAGATCAGATCAGCCATAGTTCTTCTCTCAGACTCTTACATGAGCAGAAATCAATATGATAAAACAAATGGAGACATGCAGAGCATTGCAGAAGCACCCAGAAAGGGAATTTACCTGAGACCTGGAGGTCAAAGGTAGATTCCCAAAGGAAGTGGCTGAGAACTGAGAACCAAGTCCCCGAATAATATTATAAAGAAAAGTCAAATGGTGAAGAGATTCAGTTCCAGCAAGAGACAACAGCAAAGGCTCAAAGGTAAAAGAGAATAAGAGCAGAAACAATCAAATACATTTGAATGATGTGAAATAATGTGAAAATTGTCATTACATAAAAATGCAACTAAAAGGGAAGTTTATAGGAGTCATCTGGACCATCTTAAAGATTTACAACGTTAATCTGAGAATGGGAAACCTCAGTAGGGTTCACAGCAAGGGATTCTATGTTCAAGTGTGTATTTATACCACGTTGCACCACTTGGCATGTGCAGATTAGGCAGAAGAGAATATAAGAAAATGAGCTAAGGGGCTGTTACATTTGTCTGCAAGAAAAATAAAGTGGAGGTTGAACACATAACAATAAGTTCAGAGAGAATTAAATACATTGGAGAGTATTTTCAGGAGAAAGAACACAACATCTGTGGCCAACTGGAGTGAAGTGCTAAGGGTAAAGTAGAACCATTGATGATTTTGACTAGAACGATGGGACATTAACTGTCCTGCACTGTGTGTGGTAAACTGGAAAGAGCATGGCTCAGCTTAAGGTAGACAAGTAGTGGAATCCATGTTTTCATACTCATTGACTATCCATTTTTGAGATCTCCAAATGTCAGATTTCATAATAGCAAATAGTCTCTAATTCACAGAATGAGACCAAAGTGGTAAATATAACACAGATTCATCTTCCTTTAAAACATTGCTGGGTCTAGCCCACAGTTGGCTTTCAAAAATTGTTAATTTCTTCCTCTTTTCCCATTAAGATACTGAATATGTTAGTCATGGTAAATATTTTCACCAGACTCAGCTTGTATTTAAGGATCCTGACAATAACCTTTCTTTCATGTTTTCTGCACAATTCTTTTACCCAGGTCACTTAAAATTTGCTATTACCTGTAAGAGTATTTTCTCTTCAAACACCTATAAATGGTGATTGTTACAGAATTTGAATTTGTTATTTCTTACCTTGGGAATAATCATGTGAATCTGATTTATATTAAACTTCATTTTCATGCAGGTTTACTTCTGAAGATGATATTTATGAAAAATTATTTGAAATCTGGTGCTACCACCACATTGTCTCATTTAATTTTTTTCTATATCACCCTTCTTTTTATATATCCACATTTATTCATTCTGTCTCACAACAATCCAAATATTTAGTTATAAAACTTTTTTTGTGACCTATTGTGTCACTGGAAAGCTATAAGATTATAGTAATATAAATAAAATTAAGTAAGTCATAGCCCAGAAAGAAAAATATAGTTAGTAATATATATATGTATATACACACATATACACATATACACACATATATATAATATATATGTATATATATACACATATATATGTGTGTGTTTTAGTTACTTTTCTTGTTGTTGAGACAAGATACTTGACACCCAAAGTTAAAGAAGGAAAGATTTATTTGGCTTACAATTCATAGTCCACTGGATTGAGTTGACACATGATACATGCATAAAATTCCAAAAAGTAGAGATGAATAACAGATTTTTGATACTGAAGGTGTTGAGAAAAATGCCTGAGGGCCAGGGGTTCAAATCAGAGACACAAGGGCCTGCCCGGGAAGCAGGGAATCATGAGTTCAATGCTTGGTAAAGGAAATAAAAAACACTGATTGAAAATGCCTAGAATAAGCAAAAATGATAGAAAACAGAAGAACAAGGAAATTCTTAACTTTGGAGAAAAGGGTAGGATGTCTGCAGTTAGCAGAAATCAAAAACATTGGTTAAGGATTCCATATTATCTGTTGGAATCCTGGGAGCTGCCATGGTGCCAAGGAGAGAGACTCTGTTAGGGTAGCATAGCCAGAAGTCCGCCAGCCACAAAAGATGTCAAAGTACAGCTTCTGTCTCAAAAATCTACAATTCCTGGCTAACAACTGTTCCCCACAGGCAGACTCACTCTCATCCACACATACAAACCACTCCAGGCTGGTTGGGAAGTTTACAGCAGACTTCCTGTCTCACCCATCCAGCAGAATTCACAACTGAGCCTCCAAAATATGGCAGATGGAAGCCCAGGCAGAAGTGCCAGACTTCTGTGATCATGCTGTGTCATCTTGCTTCTCCTTCTTGGTTGCCAGTTAACTCACTCTCTAGGATTGGTCTCCTGATTTACCCTGGGTTATTTTAGCTCTGGTTCTGCATAGCTGGCTCTATGGAGGATGACTTATCAGAATTGAATACCAGCGTACATCCTATGTTAAGACACTGCCTCTTTACTTCACTCTGCACATTGTCACCTATCTGCATCCGTACAAGAGTAAGCTGCTGGAACTCTTTGATACTCAGTTCCACCTAATTCTGCCCTTGGATCACATTCTACTCCATTTACCTTTCTGATCCAAGATGTTTCCAGAGGACCAAAATGTGATCTGGAAAGGATTAGAGAACCTATAAGCTAATGCAATTTGGAGGGTCCTGAGCTAGGTAGGTGAAAGCGGATATAACACCGGATACAAATTTACTAATTGGCCCAGCAATCTCACATTTCATAATTTACAAGGGTAAATTAAATATAAAGATATATTTCCCCACAACATGAAAATACAGACGGACCACACTGTCTCATACATTAATTAGTATTGCAGTTTCAAAACACTAGACGCTTTGAATGCTCAAGCATAGAATACTGGCTGAATAATATGTCACATGCATATTCAGTTCTGTGCTTTTGAAAAAAATTAGGAGGATTTTTCTGAACTGATATGGTGTAAATTCAAGTAGATAATGCAGGCAGACTACAAGAGAGCATAGTGTGGTACCTTTTATACATAAAGTAGAGAAAAATAATAACATATACATCTATTTGTATTTATAAATAGAAACCTTTACACAGGGTAAAGCAGAAATCAACACAGTTGATTAATTATAAAACTGAGAATAAGTAGGATAGAAGAAAGTCATGATTCTCCGTACTATACTTGAATGCATAGTTTTGACTTTTAGAGGCACATTTGTACTCTGTATTGTATAAAACACATTGGTGAATCACAGGAAGGAAGGAAAAAATCAAGTATGAAAACCATATGAAATAAGCTCAGTTGTATTTTAAGCAAATATCATAAACACATTAAAAAGAAGATCAAATGAATGCGAGTACTTTATTGACATAGCATTCGACAACAAGCCCTAATCTCAGGAATGATTAGGGTAGACAGAGTCTGGTCTTTTTTGATGGGTTGTTGCTTATTGTTGTGCGTATGGAGCAATTCTAAAAGCAATTTTAGATGCAGTATAATACTGAGCAAATGAATAAACATACTGGTATTGTGAGGAGACATTTTATTTATAAAAAAAGAAAGATTAGGATAATTTTCTTCAAAAATTTCAAGGCTATAATTAAAGTCCAAATCTATGGAAATAGTGCAGATTAAAGGAAGGTAAAAAGGAATGATTAATAATAAAAGCACTGAACCTACATTAGATGTTCTACGAAAGGGAAAACATTCTAAAAGATGTTGTGTCCACTGTCAAAACTTTACTGGAAGGCAGATTACTTGAAAGTATTGAGTCAATAATTTAAAAAAAGATAGAGGTTCAGATATTTTTAAAATACATTTTATGGGCCAGAGCTATACAGTGGCACAGCGCCTGCTTGGCAAGCATGAGGTCATGAGTTCAACTCCCGATACCAAAATAAATAAATAATACATTTTATAGTCCATCAAATATGTTGTATCATCTATTAAAGGGACTGTGCATATGTTTTCATTTAAAATATGTAAATATGAGCTTCATGTGTTGGAGCACATCTATAATCCCAGCACTGTAGAAGATTGAGAAGGAAGATCACCAAAATCATAAATTGGAAAGAAACTTGCTTGGGCAAAATTATTACTTAGCAACACATTGTCTCAGAAACAAAGAAAATTATCTATATATGTATGCACCATCAACAGGAGCTTCTGAGGGAAGATATTTACACAAACAGTCAAAGGCTCGACATCAAGTTCCCTCTGCGGAATTTCAAAACTCGGCATTGTCAGTGCCATATCCCATGCGACTGAAGCAGATAACACGTGAGCACTGACATTTGATTCCTTTCCCTTTGAGATTCTGGTGTTCAATTTTGTTACGAGAAACCGGGTTTAAGGCTCCATGTTCTCACATGTTAAGAATGCTTACTTCTGGCTAAATGCCTTTGAAATCTAAACTGAAACTTTTTTTACGGTTTTGTTAATCAATTGTAACAACTTCCCTATAATTTTCCTAAAAATGTCTTTAAATATAAAGATATTATAAAGAAAAAATATATCAGTCAAAATAAATATGGTGACAAAATATTTTGGTCACTGTCACTGTATATTCCTCAATGAGTTTCACATCACATCACTGTATATGAAACTTCCATCCAATTAAAAGCGATTTGGTGCTTTTTGACGCTAAGTTGTATATTCAAAGCGACCTTTATTTGTGACAGAGAATAATTAAGTCAGTCCTTTTAAAAAGATTTAATCCAGCATTCAAAACCGCGACTTGCGATTTACATAAAGCCTTGTGGGGCGTTGTTCCCAGGGAATGCTCTGCTCCAAGGATGCACTGGAAGCAGCTGGAGCGTATCAGCCTTGCCAGTCTCAGCAAGATGACAGCTTTTCTCCTTTTGATGGATCTGAATTTCAGTTTTAAAAATATACGTAAAAGCAGTCTCACTTGAATTTTGACCTGTCTTCTCGCCTATGTAGTTGTGTTTAAAAAAAAAAGAAACTGTGATTCCCTCACATGAGAATTTTTCTAAGATAAAATTCTTACCTGCATTGGAGCAGATGATGTCTTGAGAATTCTTGCACATTTGGTTGCTCTTTTTCTTCGTGAGGTTACAGTTGGTTGGGTACTGGCAGGCATCCCCAGACCATCCTGGGTCACATTTGCACTTGCCGCAGTCACAAGTCCCATGGCCTGAGGATTTAACAATATCCAGTGACTCAGTCTGCTTTCCCAAGGGAAATACTATCGGAACAAAAACCATTAAAGTGGCACTCACTCAAAACTGACCTAAAAACTCAGACACAAGAAGGTGTGATGGAAAATACACTGGAAGCTTAAATTTTAAATTTTTATTACAGTAAAACAAGCACCACTATTAATCTTCCCCAAAATACTACCCTTTCCTTTGAACAAACTTGTCCCACCATTCTTGAGACTTTCTGAAGCAGCTCGGGAAGACCTCTTTCATTACCATCTTTAGTTGTGCTGTTCTGACTGCCTCAGTGTTCTGAATTGATTCAAAATGTTACTTTTCGTGGTCATTCTGAATTTGGAGAAAAAAACAGAACTTGCATAGTGCCAGATTAGGTGAATAAGGTCAATGAAGACACAACAATGAAGACGCAGTAAAAATTTAATGTTTACATTTGACAGAAGTCGCCATAAATATTTTGAATCAATTCAGGACATTGAGGCAGCCACAAAAAGACACTTCAAGGAAAAAAAAAATTCCAGAACTGCTTAAAAAAGTGAAAAGAATGATGGGATAAGTGTTTCTGAGGCAGGTGGAGGGGTACTTTGAGGGGAGTTAATAACCATGTGTCTTTTACTGTAATAACTTTTTAAAATTTAAACATTTACTCTATTTTTAAATCACATCCCCCATGTCTTACAGTGACTGAGAGGGATTACACATTGCACCATGTGCATTGTAATGAAATATGAGAGTTTTCTTTCAATAATCAACTGAAAAATATCAGGGACCCATTAAGTTCATTTATAGAGAAATCAGGATATTATATTAGAATTCTAATAAAGCACAGTCAAAAACTCAGTACTAAAAATAAAAATCTACGCAGCTCCACAGAATTTCAGTCCAGTAGAACTTTTCTCTAGATGGCTATATTTTATAACACTTAACACTCCAAATCCTGAAGGAGGAATTTTATGCAAAGCTCCAGTAAATTAAACACTGGCTTTATATTTATTTAAATTAAACATGCAGTAACATTTTATGATACATTAAATTTCACATTGAATAAGATGAACATAAAAAGTAAGTATATGTTTTATCACTTCATGAAAAAATTAAGTTCAGAAATAAAAAAAAGACAAGAATTGTGTGCATCCACCACAGCAGAATTTTCTCAGTTCTTCATCCTTGCACTCATCTTGCTTTTATGGGACGTTCTTCATGTGTTTATGATCATTAACGTTATCAAGTACTGTTTCATGAAGATTACTAAGTTTTTCTGACTGCACACTTTTATGATCTAAGTACAAAGCACATGCAACACTTGGATGTTGTCCTCAAGAACTTGCATATTTCACATTCAAGGCTGGCACACAAAGCTGGTGCTATTACTGCCTGTCAGAAGTGCTGTCATCTTGTGTCAAGTTGAGTGATATAGTCTATGACCTAGCAGAATAAGAGAGGAGACTTTCTACACTCCATCTTTTGATGCCCTTGAAAGTTGAGTTTCAATGACTTGTAGAGAGATTATTCTTACACACTCAAGGTAATAATTCTATATTAATATCTCAAATTCAGAGAGCACATGGAGAAAAATCATTGATGTGGCGCCTATAGCCATTAGATGGGTGGCCAAAATTTCCAGGATGAGGTGCAGATGGCTGATAAAAATTGATGGCTCAGGGACTGACCATTTGGGAATGGTCAGCAAAGCCTGAATCAGTGACTTTAAAACCTCTTTTTTTGTGGCCCAGTCTTTGTAAATGTTTCTATTTGTTACATTTGTCAATCAGTTATACTATTTTACAAAGCCTTATAGGTACTGTAATTGAAATTCATTTTATGCACTGCACATTACTCTGTAAAACTGATTGTTACTATTTTGCATTCCTGTTTAGCTTACACAATATTCTCAGTCTTGATCAACTTGGTGTTGCTTATGAGAACAAGTAACTTTACCTGGCAATTGTCTATAGTCTATTTATAAAAGTATGAAACCAAACTCTTGAAGTGGCTAAGCCTCTTTCAGTACACCAAGTATCTTAGAAATTGTACTGACTCTAATAACAATAATGTGTGACCAGGTGACATTTGCATTTTTGTCAGCTCTTTATGATCCATCCCAATAAAATGCTTTATATAAGCAGCAAAGAAAACAGAAATGATATTGAAGATAAATGATGATTTATGGACTCGATACTAAAGGACCACTCCATGGTTCTTTTATATGATAGCCTAAAGTATCTATAGCAGAGATGCACAAAGATGGACAAATGAAAACAAGGGGAAAACAAGGGAAATGCAGATAGGATGAGGAAGACCCATCCCAAACTGACCCAAGGAAGCAACAGCAGTAGCAATAGTCTAGGTCACATTCCTCACAGCGAGACCACAAGGGCCAGTTTCATGAAACATCTTTCACAAAAGATCCTTCAGTAACCTAACCCTGCTTCATGAACTACACTGGCACACCAAAGACCCTCAGAAGCCCTGGGATTGAAAAGCGATTTAACTCATTGACCCCAGGACATATAGCACAGTTTGAGTAGTGTCCCCTTTCCTCATGATCTTGAGTTAGCACCTATGGCACATGCTTCAACCAACAAGGAGTTAGGTAGTATTTTCAGCTTCCTTTACTACTTGCTCAGAACCAAAGATGTCAGCTAGTGTAAGCCAGGGTTCTCTGCCTTTATAGTCTGTTGAAACCTTATCCCAAATAAAATGTTACACTTTGATTTATTTTCCCCTAGTTTAGCAAAGCTAATAGAATAGAAATTGATTTTTGACTGTCAAGAATTATCAAATAATAGACCACATAGCCTTATTTGGAAATATATTATTTTTAATAAAGAAAGCAGACAAAGCTATTTTTAATATTACTCCCAGTTTAGTGAGAGCTCTGGCAGACCTCAGGGAAATGTGCTATGTCACTGCCACAAGATAGTCCCCCGATACATTGTACATTATAAACCAGAACCATTATTCAAAAAAACACCTCATTTTCCAGAATATGCATGTGCTCCTTGTGTGTTAGTTTCCAGGGACTGACATAACAAAGCGCAAGAAATTTAGTGGCTTTAAGCACCAGAAGTGTAAGCTGGGTATGCTGACACATGTCTGTAATCCCAGGACTCTGGGAGAATGAGGCTGGAGGTTTACAAATTTGAGCCAAGCTTGTGCAACTTAGTGACTTAATGAGACTCTGTCTCAAAATTTAAAATATTCAAAATCTATTTTTTCTCAATTTTGACGACCAGAAGCCTGACATCATGGTGTCCCCAGGGAGAAGCTGTCCCACTCCCTCCCAGTTGTTGGTGGCAGCCAGAAGTCTGTAGCATTCCTGGCTCATGGCAGGGCAAATCCAGTCTCTGTTTCTGTCCATGCATGGTGCTCTCCTTGTCAGTTGACATGAGGTTCACCCTACTATCCAGCATGACCTCATCATAATGTAAATTACATCCTAGGGACCCTGTTTCCAGACAAGGTCATTTTCATAGATCCAGGTGCTAGGATTTCATATGTCCTATGGAGGATGCTTTTCAACCCAAAGCAGCAACAAACACAGATCCCTGCATTCCTCTTTCCTAACCAGTTATATAAATAGTGGGCTGATGCTTTTTCCTTAAACATGAAGTCACTGGCTAAACCTGACAACAGGTTCACCTCCTTCTTCCCTCTGCCCTTCATGGACCCCAGGCTGGAACAGTCTCTACCACTTCCCACTCCTCTCACATTTGATGCTGATTCACCAGTGCTACAACCTGGAGACTGGGTACAGCCACAGATCGAGGAATAGGCCAGTCTAGAAGAGAGTTTGGAACCTTTGGAATGGAAGTTCTGAGACCCAGGCACCTGAATGAGTAGAGAGACACCTATAAGAGTGAGTACAGGCATTTCTAGAACTGGAGTCTGGATGGTCACATCCCCTCTCAGCTTCCAAGGCATGCCACCCAGCAGCACACTGTCATGGATGCCTCGTGCAACAGAGCAGGACCCCTAAACCAAGTATCCCAGTTAAGAGTGGTCTTGGCTACTCAGGGCTCCATGAAGTCCTAGCAAAATAATTTCAAATTCATGGCTTGCTAGACCATTCCAGTTGTTTGTTCTCCAGATAATGTAATTTCCATCCCTCTGAAATGTAGCCTTAAAATGAACCATCCAACAAGCTTGCGAATAAATCTATTGACCTTCAAATAAGTTCTTGAGGAGTCTAGGGAAAACCAACACACAAAACAAAAATGTCAGTGCAAAGCAAAACAATTCACTGCCAAAACAAAGGGAACAAAAAGGCAAAAGTCTAAGTTTGAGGCTTCCAGGGGGTCTGGATTGCAGCCAGTCCTTAGAAAGAGAAGAGGCGCCATGGAGTAACAAATCAGTATTCTAATTTCCTCTCAGGTAGGGATGCACAGGCCTTACCCGATCCTCCCAGAGGAGTTATCTTCTTGCTCCTGTACTGCTAAAGCAAAGGCATCCCAGGAGAACAAAATGGGCTTCATGATTCTTACACAATCAATGCCAAGGCCCCTCTGCCATCCCTTCATGATCCCTTCCAGGAGTAACAAGGGCCTAATCTACTCCCGTGGCAGTGGTGATGCTGAACTCCTTACAGCACATCAGGGAATGATGGAAGGAACGGTGATGCTGTTTTATTTTCAAATTAGAAGAGACTACTTCCAAATGGAAAGATTTTACCAGTACTGAATAATTTTAAAATGTCAGCCATTGATATATACTAATAAAAAGTAATCATACTTATGTCTGCTAAATTGAGAACAAATAAACATGAAAGGGAAAGCTTTTAACCCTTCTCAGTCACTGTATTCGGATATTTCAGTTATGCACTGGAAGTTTCAGTCCTTGTAAATCTTAAAAAGGTGAAAAATAGGTACCTACATAGATGTAGATAAAAAGTAGGAAGGCATGGATACAATTATAGGCCTAGATCCAGATGTAGATTTTTCTTTTCTTTTTTGCAATGCTGAGAAAGGAACCCAAGGCC